GCCTGTTTTCCTTCTGACTAGACAAGAAACCCACCCATTGTGCCCAGTTTGTTCTGCAGCAATCTAAAGAGAATTCTTCTCCCTACAGCTCCCTTCGCTGGGTCTGATTATCTCCAGAAGTCCAAAGCACTTTCTTAAATGCCTGAAATGAGGTTTCTCCTCAGAGGATGGTTCCAGGAAGCCCAGTGGTGACATCTGTGGCCTCTCCCTGTGCAGGTGCTGAGCAGCCTCAGCGCAGGGTGTGCCCTGGCTGCTCTCGTGCTCTCTCCTTCCCAGGGAAAGGTGGGGTTCAGCTCTACCTTCACCCCTGCAACGTCTCCCCAGTGACAATGCCTCTTCAACTCACAGCATTTTTGGCCATCCAGGTTGTCTCTTTCTCAGCTGTAGAAGAGCTGAGGCACCTAAATAAAGATTTTATTGACGCAGCTCACCGGAGGCTTGTTATTAACCATGATAAAACTCTCTCTAAAGATGCTGGTGTTCTTTTAAGGACAAACCTGCCCTGAATCTGGTTTCCCTCACATTTTGCTGCTTTCTCTCTCCTTTATTTCCTGGACTGCAGTTGTCTCCAGCCCTCAGAAGCTCACAGGACCAAGTGCCTCTCCCTGGCTCTCGCTGACATTCTGTGGCGTGCGGGGGGCCACGAGAAAGCCCTGGTGGCACTGTGAGTAGGAGAAGCACTTTTAGTCACTGTACACTGCCCTTGCACCTCTATCTGTCCCAAATCTACCTGATTTACAATAGAAATTATTTGTAAGCTGCATTTATGCCACCTAAAGCAGCCTAAGGGGCAATGCATAATGTAATTTCTGCTGCCCCAGCAGCTGGGACAGAATAGGCAAAACACTTTGAAGCTGCTGTGAAAGATCCTGGATCTTTATTTGATTGATGGATTGGATTTATTTGATTGTAGGGATCCTCCAAAATCATCTTATTAAGAGTTATTTTTCCAGATGCAGCATTCTGCTGCTGTATTGCAGGATATTCCATTATGGCTGGAATTAAGCTCCTTTTGCTGTGTAGCCTGCTTGGTTTATGCAATGCAATTAGGCTGCTTGTACACAAACCATCCAACTTTTAGATCCTTAGCTTTGGCTGCACTGGAACCTAAAGGACATTTTTAAGTGAGTCAGATTTTGTGGTCATAATTAATTTCCTTTATTAAATCAACTAAAATAGCTGCAAAATAACAGAGAGGCCTTGGGACACAGAAATCCTTCATAAACCTGAAATAGAAGCAGCAAAATCAAAGACATTTCAAATGATATTTCACATATTTTACATCTCAAACCTGCTTCCTCTGTGATGTTTTACATATGTTCTTCTGCTTGTTTGAATGTCATTACTCTAACAATATTTTTCAATAAAAACTGTCATTAACATCTTAAACTTATATTTATCCTCTTTCTTTTTATGGAGAAACTTGTAATTCATGTTAGACTGAGAGAGCACAGCACAGATAAAGTGTTTGTTTCACTGATAGAAGTTTGATTTGCAGTGTAAACTTATTTACAAGAAATCTTTTTTTAAAAAGTCATTAAAAATAATAATAATGCAAATCTTTGGCACATCATTCAGCTGATATAACATGTTGATTTCTCTTTAATGCCATTTTCTTCCTTTTAACATGAGTTTTGTCTGAATATCCCCTTCAGGCCATCAGGAAGACAGCAGTTCACTCCCACAGGGAAATACAAGGCAGATGGAATCCTAGAAACTGTAAGGCTCTGTGTGACTCCCATGCTCCAGATCCTCTTTCTTGCTTTCCCTGTTTCAGTTCAATCAATCTGATTTCTGTTGCTCTCCTAATGTTTTAAAATCAGATTAGTTACGATCCAAAACCCAAGAGGAAATAAAATCCCATAGCCTGCCTGGCTCTGAGTTGTCCCAGTGGCTGTGGGCAGTTGGGTTTTCTGGAATCCTTTTCTTTTAATCTTTATTTACCTTCCAAACCTAAAAACTCTGCCTGCTTTTAATGACACACACTAAAAATCAAAGTGGCCCCCTCCAATTGACCATGAGCATGAAAAGGCTCTATTTTCTTCTTGTCTTACACCGAATTCTTTGCCTTTTTTCCCCACTCCAGAAGCTCCAAGTGGCAGAACACTTTCCAGTTATGCCTTGTTTCCATCTGAGGCTCTCTGATGGCTTTGCAAGCAGCGCTGCCTCCAGCTAGGCTTTAGCGGTTGCAGGAAATGTTTTTGGCCTCCTAAACGGGGGAATGGATGTCTCCAAAAATCTGAGGATGGAAAAAAAGGCAAAGAGTATTGAAGTGAGGGCCTGGATCTGTGAGCTCTCCTGGATTTGGTGTTAAATAGGAATACTCACATTCTCTGGGTGTGGTGAATGCCTCACCACAAAGGTTCAAACCCCTGAGCCTCCTGCCAATCCTGTGTCTTCTAAAGCTGCACTATTCCTCTGTCCTAGGGATTGTTTTTCATTGCACAGACATTCTTAAAATTGAATCAAAGCTTCTGTTCAAGAAATTTAAAAATCATCAAAAAGCAGCATTGAAAAATTCAGGATATATCACGTTTTGAGGTGTAATTCTATGAAAAGTGACAACAGTAAGAGTTAGATTTCATTAGGTCTTTATTTCTTTTTGTTAGTTCAGATCTTTCCAGGCAGTTTGGAAGTTTTGACTACTTCATTTCAGCTTTCAGGTTATAAAATGGAGTTACTGTTTTTGAAGTCACCATTTTTCCTTCTTGTATTTCTTCCCAGCTAATGCTTCACAGTGCCACAAGATATGAGGACCTGATTGTATTTCTACAGCAGAATATTCACCAGGTATTCTGTTTAATTATATATCAATTTAACAAATTATGGTTCAGCTGGCAGTCTTTGTATCTGTTACTCTCACACAGTGTGTTCTGAACTGTTTCTGCCACTCCATGGACATGTTTTGCATTTTAACAAACACAGCAACAAATTCAGCTTTAGCAGAAATCACAGCAATTCCTTCTGCCTTCAGTTCCATTTGCATTTCTGGAGAACTGGGCAAAAAAATTTTATACACAGCAAACAAAATAGAACCAAAATCCTAGACAAACAAACAAAATAACACCAAACTAACACCTTTTCTTTTTCAGTTTGAAATTGGTCCCTATGGCTGCATCCTCCTCACTGTGTCTGTCATCTTATCAAGATCCATCAACCTGTGAGTGCCTCTCTAGCCTTGTTTCATAAACTGCAAAGTGAGCTGGGAAAAGGAGAAAAATCCATGGTGTGCTTCAATCTCTGGCCTTTGTAATCTGTCCTGGTGTTTGCCCTGATAAATATGGGGGTGTTGTGCAGATTCACCCACCTAATCTTGGCTTTTCTTGTATACGCACACTTGTGTGTGTGTATAATTATATATATATATCTATGTTTATATGTATATGTTAGTGGTCAGTCCACCACATCTGACATCAAATGCTCCATCTAAACATTATGTATCATGTCTGAACATGTTTTTTGTTCTCTCTACCTTGACAGCTCAAGCAAGACTTATTTAAAGGGTTATTTATTTCATATAATTCTGGTGTCTTAGGTAGGGGGGAATAACCTGTGATGACTTCCCCAGTCTCTGCCAGTGATAAAAGGAAAATCCAGAATAAAATGGGTGAGGCAGCTCATTTTTAGGTAGCTGTAGGGAATGTATGACAGATCTGCTGTCAGTTTATTGCTGTCGTGAATATTCTGATTTTAACTCATGGGAAGTCCTCATAACCTCTTTAAAAACTCCCTGAGGCTTGCCCAGGCCCAGTGGCATTTAACTGAGTTTTTACACAGGCTGAAGGTGTTTCTGTGATGCTGTGAGTGTCAGTGGGTCGGGATACAAAGCCAAATTTTCACGGATGTGAAAAGCCCCAGGAGCAAGGGGAAGCTGCTCCCTGCCAGTTTGCAATAAACAAGTGACAGGGAGAGAGCAGCTGCACTTGAAAGCAGCACGAGGCTGATTTATGGAAGCTTTTATTTCTTACAGCTCTGCATTGTTTTCGGCAAAAAAAGAGCAACTTAGTCCAAATTTGAGATCCACAATCAGTTGCTCACCTGCTGGGATCCCAGCAAGGGTTTGCAGATTGAGTTTTTTTTTTCGTTTTATTGTAATTTCTTCCTTTCTTTTGCTTATAGTAACACTACAGCCCTTGGCTTGACTCCACTTTTGTACTCTAACACAAATTATGTGATAATTTCAGGGCACATGCCATTTATTCTCATTTTTCTGAGCTGGTTACAACAGAGAGGTTCAGATTAGTAAAGTCACTTGTGCAAGTAATGATCTGTAGGTTCATAATTGCTGCTGTCTGCACTGCTTTGCTTGCTATAAAATGATAAATTTTCTTTAATCATTTAAGCAAGGATATATTCTCCCTCATCACCTCCCAGTTCCTACCAGCTGGATTATGACAAGGCCAATCAATCATCTGTGTTTTTATTTGTGGGAGCTGTGTCTAAAGTGAACATGACAATTTCTTTGGGTGACTGTTTGCGTTTTAAACTATCTAAATATTTTTACAGATCTGATCCAGAATTTCAGAAGGGTTTATGAAGTGCAGTTCTGTTTTGAGGAATTGCCATGATTTTCTCACAAAACTTCTTTTTAAAGTACTGTTTCTCCTCTAGCTTGTACTGTGTAAGACACTGCATTAGTACCGCTTTTTACAAGAAATAGGAATTTTTCTGGTTTTAAACACAATGAAAAGTGGTTTTAGACCTTTGCACAATTTATTTTTAGAAGTGCAAACTGAATTTTGTTTATGTAATTTTCAGCAATCGATTTAGCTGCCTATGTTACCTTGCTTCTCTTAGGATATTAAAAATATCAAGACAAATAACTCAGTGCTGATATCCTCAAGAAATATGTACCATTCAGAGAGTGTTACCAGCATGGTAAGCAATTATTTACATAACTGGCATAGTTCTGGATGAACAGCTGAAGACAAACAAGAGTTGGTTTAGATAATGGAATTTCAGCCAGTAATAGATCTCCCTGGGATTGTTCTGCCCCAATTTTTTTTTTTTTTTTTTTTTTTTTTTTTTTTTTTTTACAGAAAAATCAGCAGGTTTTTCAACAGAAAACTCCATGGAAGTTTCAGTTGTCTGGACTTTTGTGTGCATATTGCGCTGAAAAGAAAAAAAGATTATTTCATTTTAGTTGAGGAGCTGACAGCAGTTAGATTTTTCCAAATTTGAGTGTAATTATCTGTCTTAATGATCTTTATTGCCCAGAGAGGTTGTGGACTCCTCATCCCTGGAAGTGTCCAAGGCCAGGCTGGAGCACCCTGGGACAGTGGAAGGTGTCCCTGCCCATGGCAGAGGTGGCACTTTGGGCTTTAAGGTCCCTCCCAGCCCAAACCACTCCAGGATTCAATGAATTATTTACTTTCTATGTAAATATTTGCATTTAGGCCTTTAAACTCCAAAAAAGAGAAAAAACCCCATGATTAACTTGACTTATTTTGGATGTCTAATTTAAAATGACATAAATAATCTCAGGAAGTGCTTGGTTATCTCCCCCATAAAGTGAGAAAATCTAAATAACCTATTCATAAAGACATTTTACACTGTAAATATCAAGTTGTGAAATGAAATCTGCTTTTTAGTGATAGGTCAATGAAAAATGGGAGATTAAATGTTAATAATGGAGAGCATTATACATGACAAAAACACTCTTACAACTGTACTCACCTAGTGATGGGCTTTAAATAGGCTGTTACCAAAAAAGGAGAGAAATTCTAGCACCACCACTAAAAATTGAATTATCTGAACACATCAGTTTAATTTTCTGTGATAGACAAGAGATAAATCATGTGTTGAGAGTTGAGAACAGAATAAAAACACATTAATGGATTCATATAAATATATGATCTTCCATATTTTACCTTGCTTGTAGTCCTGTCTCTCCAGGCCAATAAAGTCACATTAGTACTAGAATAAAGTGGAAGACAAAAACAACAAAAACAAAGTTTCCCTTTAATTTGCACAGATTAAAAAAAAATCTTTTTTCTTCACCAATAAAGAGGAATAAGTTGGAAGTAGTAAAAATTCAGGCACTCATGACAAGGTTAAATACATTATTCCTCAGAGTCCAAAATCTTGGGTGCTCTCAGGGTAGAGCTCAGGCTTTGATGTAAAACAAGCATAATTCTAATTTTTTTCCACAGCATAAATTACTTTCAGTACTGGGAGATGAGGAGGCCAAAAGTATCAAGAGGTTCAAATAAATTTAGAGCAATTAATGGAAGGTGCAAGCTCCAGCATCCCTAAACCCCTGGCCTTGATGCTATCCCCATGTCCCCCATTTTTGTGTTCTGCCTTGATGTTTCCAGCTGCTTTTGCTGCTTTTTTGGTCCAGCTCCATAATTTTTACATTGTTGCAGATCTTCCCCTGCAAATGGAAATTCCAGCTTTCAGCCAGGTCTGCTGGGCAGTTGTTCTAAGATCACTGGCAATCTGAAGCATTTTTATTTCAGGGGGACGCATGCCAGGAAATGCAGGAGTTTGTGCTGCTTTGTAGATTTTGGGTAATGAGTTTTTCATGCTCTGAGCACTAATGATCATCACTGCCTGAGCTGATAACAAATGGCCAGAGAGAAGTGAGAATTCCTGAGGAAGTTGCTGAGAACGCGTTGTTGCTTCTGGTACAGGAAGGAATTCTGGTTCCTAACAATTGTTACCTGTTTTTTTTTTAATTTTAATTTGTTGTTTTGTTTTTTTTTTTTTAACAACTAGCAAAAAATTTTTTGAAAAAGTCATATTATAGCTGCTCAAGGGACTAATCTTTCTGAGTGTGCAAGGTGTGTGCTGGGATCTTCATGCTTATAACAGTTACAGGATATTTTCCATGCATGGGAGAGGGAATGAGCTCAAAAGTTGGGCTGGAAGCCCCCACTGAGCCTCATCACTGAGTGCAGGGAAGTTGTGAATATTCAGGAGTGTTTTTAATGCCAACTCAAGTGATCCCTACAGTCTGACTGTGTGGATTCATGATCACAAAAATGTTTTGTTATAAGCTCTTTTAAGACTAAGCTATCTAATTAAGAAATGACACAGATTATTTCCTTTTTTAACCCAATAACTGATCCCTCGAAGCCTGCAATGTGGACTTTTCTGCCCAATTACAAAACATCACTCAAACCTATGAAGAAGAAGGAAGAAGAAGGTAAAGAGGAACAACTTGCCTCTGCCCTAAAATTTCTATCTTGCTTCGTATTTATTTCTATATTCTAAAACCCCAAACTCTAAGTTTTCCACCCTGTGATATTACACACTTCTAACCAACCACACACCCATAATCCCAGTGCTGTCAATCAATTTTGGAAGCCTTCTCCACAGCCTCAGGTCAAATGCAGTGTTCTCTTGTGGGTCAGTGCCTTTAAGCACAGAAAGTTTAAACTTCTCAGCATCCATGGTTCCAGCATGACTGAATTTCCAGCCTGCAGTGGGACTGCAGCACTGCTTTCTCTGCTGGATGCTGCCTCATCCTCCCCAACCCCTGGTCCCTTCCTTGCTGTGCTTACTCGTGCAAAGCCATTCCTGGAGTGGGATGTGGCTCCTTTGGATGCACTCACAGGATCCTCAGCTTTCTTTAAATTCCAACTCCTGACCAGCCCTGTTCCCACATTTTTCCTCATCACTGCAATAACTTGTTGTTATTTTTAAGACAATACAAAACAACACACTCCATTTCTAGAAGGCTTCAAAGTTTTTATTCTAGCATGCATGCTTTTTATGCATTCTTAAAAAACTCCTAAGTTTATGCTTTATACTTTTGGTCACGAGAGACAAAGTGCTCATTGGAACAGGCAGTTGCAGGTTTCTCTTAGCTTTATACTTTTGGTCATGAGAGACAAACAAAGTGCTCATTGGAACAGGCAGTTGCAGGTTTCTCTTATTTATTTATCCTCCTTTCTTTCTTGGTTTCTGTGTCAACGACCTTGGTAGAAAATTCTTTCAGGGGTTAACATGGATCCTCTTACCCAGCTTCTCTCTGGCTCACAGAAGTCACTGTAAAACCTCCTCCACAATAACTTAACTGCATAAAATCATCATTACTGGAACCCAGGAGAGCAAAGAACACGTGGAACAAGAAAATTCCTTGGGTGGAAAACCATTTTCAGGCTACCTGGAGACAATGCACAGAGCCTGATCTGAAGCACAGGCTCGTTGTGCTGCTCACAAATCAAAATTCCTCTGTTTGCATCATTTTTGTGGACCTGGGGATTCTTTATCAATTACTGGTAGCAGGTCATGTGTCACTCTCCAGTCAGGATTGGCCACTGGGTGTCTTTTTTTTCATGTTTTCTCTGAGGTGTTGCTGTGAGAATAAGTAAAACAATGGCTTTAGTTGTGGGAAAAATAAAAAAGGAGACTGATTTTGCAAGTCAGGAGGAGGCTGTGTACTTCATTAAGGTTGGCTGCTCATAAACCTTGGAAAATACACGTCAACATCTTCTTCCTTGCTGTGATCCCACAGCTCTATTAATTGCATTTCTGTAGCCCTTACTGCTCCAGAGGAGGGTGTTCAGACCTGTTTCAGAGTTATTTGAGCTGTTCCCATTTTGGTGTTGGGGAATTTTGGTTGTTTGGAGTTGGTGTTTTTGTGCATTTCATTATTTGATTTATTTATTTCAATAGCCAGTGTGCATTTCAAAAGCCAGTTGTTATTGTCACATTATGACTCCTTATCAGTGTAGGATTTCTCACACCCAATAACTCTGTCCTTGATTATTACCAATTTATCTCCTTCTCTGAAATCTCTTAATGAGCAGTTGTTCACTTGAGGGAATCAAATTATTAAAATTATGTTATTCTGTGCACTTATTCTTCATTCCTGTCGTACTATTTTACCTAACTGGAGAAGTTAAATCTCTTTAATCTGCCATTCTGCTCCATCTTTGAAATAAAAACATACAGAAGCACCAAATCAGGTTAAATGTTGCCCATTATTATGCCCTTTGCCATGGTTAAATATATCTGTTTATCATCTTGGGTTTCCCTCTGTAATCATTTATCTGGTTGCAAGCAATCCTACAAGAATCTTCCTCTTCTGGCCCATTGGCAAACTATATATTTTTTTATATATATAATTTTAACAGTTCTGTCTGCCTTACTCATCAAGAGAAGTTTTTATTTTATTAGTTTTTATTCTATTTCTATTCTAGTTATTATTTTTAGTAGCAGGAAATGATCATTACTGCAGTAATAATTTTTTTTTTTCTGTATCCTTTCCTATATCCTTTCTGTATCATTTACTGTAAAATAACCTCAATTCTGACACATTACTGGACTTTAAATCTCTTTCAGGACTTCGAAAAGGAAAGTGATGGCTCATGAGCTGTGGGTGGAACAAAGGGTCCCCCACCCTCAATCCACTTTCCTTTGCTGACACCTTTTCCTGTGCCAGAGCCAGTCTCTAATTTGGAGTTCCCCTGAGACTCACCTTCTCTCCTGATGCTGAAGAAAAGCTCTCTGTGAAATATCCTCTTGGCTGGGCCAGGGGAAAAATTCCAATTCCAGCTTCTCATGAGGGTTCCCATCACTTGGGGCACTCTCAGCTCTTGATGGAAGTAGGTTTTCCTGTGAGCCAGTTTTCTGGGAAAACCTTTTTAAAGGTAGTTTCCCCTCCACTTGAGGGTGCCTGGGAGAGCAGCAGCAGGGGGAAGTTGTATCTGGGAGCAGTTTGCACTCAGGGCTTGCAGTTATGTAACATAAATAGATGTCATCGTGGTTTTTTACAGCTTTTGGTGTTTGAAAAACACAGGGAAGCTGCTGGTTTTGAGGGGAAACAGCTGCCAATTATGTTACAGTGCTAAAAAAACAAGGAGCTGGACACAAAAAAAATATTTAAAAAATGTATTTGAGAAATCTCATAGCTCCCCAAGAGCCATTTGTGATGTTTCAGCATGAGAAAGTCAGGTTAGATTTACCAGGAGCAGGGGGAGGAGCAAATAGGAGAGAATTTGTGGGATCCAGACCTTGGTGGGGAAAAATTGATTTTTTTTTTTTTTTGGGGTGAATGAACTTCTGTGCCTCCTGCTCAATGGGTTGCATGCAATTCCTAATTTTAAGGATCTTCCCTTCCTTTGAGGTTCTGTTGTGGGAATTGGGCAGAGGCCCTTGTAGCCAAAATGTTCACTGGGCGAGAGCTGCTGGTAACATGAATCAATTAATAAATGCAGAATAATGAATGCAGCTGCTGAAGGTAATAAAGAAGAGAGTTTGCTTGAAGGAATTTAATGTTTTTCCTTCAAAAAAAAAAAAAAGGCAAGAGTACAGGGATGATCAGTGACAGCCTTAGCAATATTTGTGGGAGGATGTGAGAGCAAGATTTGAAACTTTGTGCTTTCAAAAAGGGAATAGATTGATGTGTGAAATGTCACTTCCTAATAATGCTTGAGAGAGAGGGGACCCAGGGACAAAAGGTGGTGGGAAAAGGGGGTTTGGAAGACACAGGAAAGGAGAGTAGGGTCTCACTCTAGAGAAACGTGTAGGATTTGCCAAATAAAATGTGAATATAAGGAAGCTATTTAACACTGTAAATAAGGAATGTGACCCAAGTGGAAATGTGACCACAAAGGCAAAGAAGAGGAAAGGTTGGATTAGGTTTGAGGGTGTTTGCTGCACTGGAGGACAGGGAACAAAGGTTAGTGGTAAAGAAAAATGAGTAAATGAGACTCAGCTGAGAAAAAAAGGGGCAGAATGAAGAAGACAAAGATGTTTTTATGCTGGTTTTGTTCGTTATCTTGATAGGTGAGGGATTGGGGAACTGGGAAACAATGCCAAAAATAATAAATGGGGGAAACTGTGGAGTTTGCCCACTAATTGAGACATGTGACTCCTGTTTCCCTGGTCAGGAAATTCAGGAATTTCAGCTGTGTCACCAGCTGGGTTCACAGAACAGAAGTGGAGAACTAGAGACTGAGTGACAGCAAGTTTGGTGTGGATGTGCAGCAGGAAGGTCACTTGTGGGAATAAAAACAGATTGCTCCCCTGAAACATCCAGCCAGCCCCCTGTGGAACTGGTCAGGATAAATCAAAAAGCTGAGGGACTGAAGAAAGAGAAGATTACTAGCTCATTCTCTGGGGAGTTTCCTGACTTCTTGAAATAGTGCAGAGGAATGAGAAAAGTGTGGTGAGCAACAACCTTCTCTGTCATCAGTGGTCTGAGTCCTGGTGTTGGAAAATGGAGAAAAAATGTGGTTCAGATGAGGTCAGACGTGAGGAAATGAAACAACAAATTATTTCCTTATCTTATTAATACAAAGATATCAGGAAAAGATGTGAGGTTTCTGTGAAGAGTGGAGGTGGCTGATACCAGGAATAATGTAAAGAATGCTCCAGGTCTAAAATGTTATTCTGCCTTTCAGTAAGGAGAGCAGCAGGTGCAAAGCCAGCATGGCTGGTTGGAGTTCATGCATAATAACTGCATCAAATTTGTGGCAGGTGGAATTTAACCTGAAAAAGTGATGATGGCTACACAATGGGAAGGAAAAAATACACCGAATTCCTAAATTTATTCAGCACTTTCAAGCTTTCTCTTGCTGTGCCAGACTTTATGAATGGACCCGATCCTAAAAGCTTACCTTTGTCATGTCTTATTTAAATATAGAGTAACTTGACTTGCAGTTATAGAAGCAAATGGAGAATTGGTAGTTAAACTAAAAAAACCCCAAAAAATAAAAAAAAGAGAATAAAATTAGTTAATGGGGACCTAATAAGAGCTTTTTATTTGATATGTCAAATGAAAAATCATTTATTAATGTGAAAATAACACATCTTTTAAGAATTCTAAAGGTGATGAAGAAAGGGACTCAGAAAAGTGTTGTTAGCATGGGCAAGGTGACTGATGGAGTTTGTCAATGATCAGTCTGGGATTAAAATGTTTTATTCCCCACATTAATATCAGTGATGAAGAGGGAGGTGGGGACTCATGTGATGGTCAGAGAATCTGATTTTATTGTGGACTACAAATGCTTATATACTGTTCTAGGAAGGCTAGTGATGTTTACTACATGATTTAAAACATGATTGGGTTAAAGGTCACATAAACAAACTTAGACATTTTAAACATCTCCTGCTTGCAGAAGTCTTGATGTAATTTTCTTTTTTCCAGTAAATCCGTCTGATTTGATTTCTTACAATCTTGATTTAGTCCTCAAAGTTCTGTTTGCTCTTGCCAAAGCATCCTGTTACCAAATCTCTTATGCTTATAAAGTCTAAAGTACTCTCTGCTTTGTGTACCCCAACATCTCCCCCTTCTTTTTTCCACCAAAACCACTCTTATAATGGCCTTACTAATTAATCTCTGCACACATTGAAAGGTATCATGATTAATACAACTATTATCAAAAATTATCACATACCTATCTTAAAAAGAATCTTTTAGTTCAAAAACTACAGCCATTAAAAGCCTCAGACTTGATCTTTAAAAATTAAAAACATTCCTGATGGCAGATGCAGGGGGGCATCACTGGATTTAGAAAGGCTACCAGAATTAAAACTGCATCAGAAGGTTTGATTCTTATACACAGGGCTGATGGGGAAAAACTTTTTAAAAGTTTTAGACTGATTCCTTCCTGTGTATTTAAAAAAAAAAATCCAATTTCACAGAACCCAGGAGCTCTAATTCTTGGGCTTCCAAGGGTGTTTCAGGAAGGTAAGGGGCCAAATTTGGTTTGATTTGATTGCAAAATTTTTAATGCAAATATTAGTGCAAAATTCTGGAGGAGCTGTATTTCCCCCCCCCCCCCCCCCCCTTTTTTTTTTTTTTTTTTTTTTTTTTTTTTTTTTTTTTTTTTTTTTTCTTAAACATTTGGGATACTGAGATGGAAGAAGGGAGTGGTGTGCTGCTGAAGTGACCTGATGACTGAAAAGCTGAAAGGCCCTGTCAATACAGAGGACAAATCGTGCTGTAAAAGAGTTGGCTCAGCCTCCTGATGAGGGCAATAAAAAAGGAATTTATTTTCACTACAGAAAGTGCAAGGTTTTGTAAACAGAGCCCTGCTCACTACTGTCCTGGGGGGTTCATCAGCTGTGAATGGCAGGATGAGGAGCAGCAGAGCACACAGTGCCTCTGAGCCAGCAGTAAAAAATAGCCTTGGATCTGCTCTGAGGGTGTATCAGAATAGTTTTAGGAGGTGTAGAAATGTTAATGGATTGTGCAAGGCACTGATGTGTCCTTAGAGAAACACCATGGCAGGCTGGGTTCACACAGTAAATCTGAGGGAAGTGTAGGAAAAGCACAGACCAGGGAAGAAGGACTTTGTTTCATCAATTGTTCTAAAAGAACAAAAGTTTTTATGTTTTCTAGCCTTAAAAAAAGCAAATTTTGAGGTGGGATGTAACTGTTTCCTAAAAACTGGGATGGTGGTGGTTGTAAATAAACAAGGAAGGCAGGGAAAGTGATTTAATTTAAAGATCAGTGTTAGTAGAGAGAGAAAGTGCATCTGTAAACCTCATCAGAGTGTGACCAGATTCCAGGGGCCTGAGCTACCACTGAGAAGAGCATGGAAAGCTGAGAAAACAACCAAGAAATGTGAATTTCTGTGAAAGAGAGTAACTGGGATGGCTGGGTTTTACCTGCCACAGGCAGAGAACATCATCTTCTCTTCTCCCTCTCCACAATTCTGCTTTATCCCAGTGTGGTGTGTGGCTGTAATCCATGCCAGGGCTGATATAAACATGGAATATTCTTCTGGGGACAACCTAGATTTGTGGGTTTAGCTGCCCCTTGGTTCCATAGGACTGCTCCTGTAGGATCAAGGAAAGGTTCTGCAAGCCTTGATAGGGAAAAGACAGGAAACTCTCTTAACAAATGCAGTGAAGGATCATTCTGCTGGAATATTCTCCATGTTTCCAGCAGTAATCCCAGGATTTCCCAAGCTGCCAGGTCACTGAGTTTATTAGCCCTTGATGAAACCTGCCCTCCGCGAATTTCTCTAAACCCTTTAATCCATTTGGCCTCCACAACGCCTGTGGCAATGCAGAAATGTGTTTTGTGAAAGAATTTTTCCTTTTTTTCTTTTTACGAATTTCTCTAAACTCTTTAATCCGTTTGGCCTCCACAACCCCTGTGGCAATGCAGAAATGTGTTTTGTGAAAGAATTTTTCCTTTTTTTCTTTTTTTTTCCCTTGAATTTCCCATTAAGTTTAAGGAGTGGTGCTGAATTCAAGTTTTGAAAAGTAGTGAGGAAATTTTCCTTAATCATCTCCTTGCCTTGGAGTCCAGCAGTTGTGTCCTGATGGAGTGAAATGATCCTGGTCTCTGCAGCCTCTTCCCACAGGAAAACTGCTCCAGTTCTTTAAATCTCCTTCCTTCTGACCATCAGAAATTCCTCTGACCCTACAATATCTAAATGCTCAGATTCCATTGAGCTAAAATCTGTAGTAAGCTAACTTAGAGAAATTGAACTTTTAATTGGTTTGTCCAGTTGAGGAGTCTTCTTCAAAGAATGGCTTCAGGGTGTTTTTATTTCTCTATCAACCTTATTTCTCACTTCCCAGCTTTTCATGTAAAAAAATTAAAAATTAGACTCAGTCTGTCTTCAGTGCCAGAATATTTGTGATTTATCCCTCCAGTCCTTGGTATTTAGAAGTTTGATGGCTGTGGCCAGGTTGTGGCAGGCTCCTTTTACTGTGTTCATCAGATGGAGAAAAGGAATTTTCCTGAAGTTTCTTCCTCTACTTTGCAAATTACCTGAGCAAGGTCATCTAAATTTCCTTCAGGATGTACCAGTTTCTCTCCATGTACACAAATTAAAAAAATTCCAGAGGGAATTTTCATCTTTAG